CCCTGCTGATGTGACACGGGATGTTAACATTGGCAAACAAGCCTCAATTAAACAAATCGGATTAGGACACGTGCTACGTACGCCTGGTAGTTTTGACAGCCATCATATACATTGCCTCTACATTGCTTACAAATTGCCCTAACGCGCGCGTCTCGCAGCTGTATAAGATCGCCGATAAAAATGCCCAAAAAAGGAAATTCATATTTTTGTTCACGAATGCGACAAATTTCCACACATGGCAACGCTTTTCTCTACATTAGGTTATCTATGTAGTACACTTTGCAAACGACCATCATACGTGAATGTAGCTCCAAAATAAACTTAAGATTCACAGTTCTTAATCTCAGTGTCACCTGAAATTTTAAAATAATTTTTTACCAGTCACCATTATTTTGCAGGAAAAGAGTAGAAATAATAATTTAAGAATGAAGAGGAGCCAGATTTACTACAGTTTCGTATACACCCAATGACATTTACACAATATGCATCATTTAATTCTATTTTTTCTCTTTTATTTTTCCGTTTATTTTATTTTTTATTTAACATGCACCATTCTTTGTAACATAATTTTAAACGTGTGTGTGTGTGTGTGTGTGTATAATTACATTCTGCATATGATTTTTTTTTTTGTTTTTGGAAATCCAAGCACCCATATCTCTAAAAGAAATATGAGAGTAAGTCATCCCTATCGTGTAAGAGAGACATAAAGTAGAATAGGTCAACCTTTGTTTTCCGATACCACGTTAAAATTGTGGTAAGTACTTTTTTCCTTAATGATTATAGGCTGAGAAGTGTGCAGCTTTTACCGTCAATTATTTATTCACTGCACTATCATTTAGTTTTGCACAGATAGTGTCTTGGTCATTGACATGATATATACATTTTGTCAGTTGCTTTTCCTGCACAATGGGCTCATTTATGTCCACTAGCTATAGTAGTGGTTATCATTGTCTTACTAGCCTTATCATCCATTATTCCTGTTTTTTATGAAAGATAAACACTAAGTTCATTGTATTAATGTTAAGTGGGGTTTTCCCTGCATGATATCGCACTTGATCACGTTTTATGAAATGAATATCTTTGTGCTTTTTTACTGGCTATACACTGGGGATACGATTCGTACCCAGATTCGTACCCAGAATGCGTGCACTGTCTTAAGATAGGTTTTGGCACATTTGTGGAGATAAAATGACCATGTTTATTTTACGGTACATGTATGCAATAAAAAACAACATTCTTTCCTAAAACTATGAAAAACTTGCAAGTAAGGCAAATAATTTTGTATGAATGATGCACATGTAAGATATGCAAAATTTTAGTAGTAGGCCTATATATACATGCATAAAATTACGCAAAAGATAAAAATTGATACAGAAACTGGCAATTTTGGCATTTCTTCTCCATTTGCTCAATTGAATCAGATTTTTTGATTTTTTAAAAATGTATTTATTTTCTTAGTAAAGAGCGAGAATCGGGCAAAATGTTGAAAAACGCTACATGTACTTAAGACCTTTTTCATTTTCGATTCCCTTCGGCGGGCAGATTAAGAGGCAGGGTGGTGGTGGGACAACAGCATGCACTCCCCCTCCATTCGCTAAAAACAGTAAAAAGGTAAATGATAAATTAAAATCAAGCAATTTAATTATCCCTGTAAACTTTAACCTCACCCCCCCCCCTCCATCCCCCGCAGAAAAGCCTGGGTCATCGCCTTGATATCTGATATCCGTTCGATGACAAATTCTTTCATTTTGAAAGTAACATATCATTATGTCCCCCATTTATATGTAATATTATCAACACAGATATCACAATTAATTGTAACATCAGCTTTTACTTCGGCAAGTACATCCGCATCATTGGCTTATCTTGGTGGCCGCACCATCTTTTGGATGTTGTGTTGTTGTAGCAACACACTCAACACCCGAGTTGTAAATTATTGCGCATGGTATATAAGATAATAAAGTTTGTCGTTGAAAATGAAGAGCGGTATCCAATACATGATTAAATTACAAGAAAATGTAACTTTTACCATGTGTACGTAATATTGCCGAAAATACACCACCTATATTTGGGAACTATTTTGTTGAACGGAACGTTCGATGTTTACATGATAGCTGTGGTAGGGTCACAGGCGGTGTATGAAAGTTTCGACAAAATGAATAGAAGATGACCCCTAAAAAGTAGCTTCTACTCAATTGTTTGACTCGATATAATCGGTAAGTATAAAGTTTGTAATAATGTTCCAGTGCATTAATGTAAATAATATTATTTTAATTATGTATGGTGTATTCATTGTACAGATATTAGTGGTAGCTTGTACGGTCAATGCCACTGTTTTTGCCACTGGCTTATTCGAGTAGGGGAACTTCACCAACATTAGCCCTATCAGAACTTAGAAATTTAAGAGATTTGTGTAGGGAATCTTGCTGTTAGGGGTTCTAGGGCTATTTTTTTTTATTCAGCAGAATATGATTATTAACACTAGTTCTAATAAACGTACACATAGATTTACAACTGTACAAAGTATGATGACTATACTGCGTAGCATTTTACATTTATGTTGAATTGATATCATACAGTACTAGAAGAATGCCACTGTTTTATTGTCGATTGAGATATGAGTTCTTAAGAAGCGGAAATATTAATTGAAAGGTTACTGACACTGGCAATAATGACACTGAGTACTAGTATCATATAATATTTCAGGGAAAAAAAGAATAAAAAAGAAAGATGGAAGAAGAAAAGATAGAATCCCAAGAAGTCGATACTGACAGTGCTAATCCAGAGATTAAACCAGAGGAAACAGAACAAACTGAAACAAAAATCAAAGATGATGAAACAGCTTCTGAGAAAGCTGTTATCGTGTCTGAGGAAATTACTGTTGAAGAAGGTGCACTTAAAGAAACCGTCAAGGATGCTGATCAGTTAAGTGACGTTAAATCGACCAATCTGGATGAATCTGTGTCCAGACCAGAGAGCCCAGCAAAGACTGCATCAAGCCGACCAGGGAGTCGCTCAAGTCGAGGGAGAAAGTCCCCTTTGTATGACGAAGCTGAGAGCAGTGTTGGGCGACAGAGTCGTGCAAGTGGGGAGGCTGTATTTGAGGCACGCAGACGAGGCAAAAAGGGACCGTTACCTCCAGATGCTCATAAAGTGACTTTTACAATAGCTACTGCTTTAGCAGTACCAACAGGTAAGATTTGAATAAGCACAATGAGGAGTATTAATTTATTATGTATTGTTTCTGTATAAAAATTCTGTATGGTTGTATTTATAAAAACTTCTTGATACCTCAAAAGCTGTTCTCATTTGGAATTGTACTGGATATTCAACAATCTCAGAATTTTGAAATCACAACATGCTCAGCTATATTATTATTGTTTTTCCTTGTATGGCCTTTATGGCTTAACATTACAATAAATTTTAATATAACCTGGACATGTAAATATGTGTACTGTTATGCATTATTTTAGTCGAAGAAACACAAGAATCTGACATAGGTTCTATGTCAGGTGACCAATCCAGACAAGGTAGATAATCTCACGGGTGCCATATATATTTTAAATAAGTCACATGCTTGTCATGTGACAGGAGTGTTGCACATTTCCCTGAAGTGATATTTGTAGTAGCACAACCACAGGATACATTATATATAATATGAACTGCTCTTTTTCAGCACTTGTGGTGGGCTTTTATTTTTTCTACTAGGAAATGAATTTTTAACTAACCCAAGACAATCACACAGCACATTTTGAATTATGCACTGTTATTTCAGACACCAAATCAATACTAATAATCTCTCAGCACTCTTTGAAGCACTGCATTAATTTATAATTGCTTTTGAGGGGGAAGAGTGCTTCTCATGCCATACGCTGTGCTTTCATTTACTGTCAGATTTATTTATTACTACATTAAGATTTTCAATGTTTTTTTTAAATTATTTTATTTTTTTTTTACAAAAAGAACACACAGCCAAATTGTCTACTTTCTGTACAGGTAAACACTAAGAAAAGTCAACATGAACCTACATAACAAAAATTAGTTGCCATTATGTTAACAAAAATGGCCCAAGATCTGGTTAGCTTTTATCACATTCATTGCCCAGTATCACTTCACAAAATCATTTTATAAATATTTATTTTATGTTTTACCAGTCTGTTAATGAACATCACTGTGTACATTTTATGTACCTGAAGTAGATCAATAAATCACAACTTCTCTGAGCTGCAACTATTATAACATCAGCACTCTGGGAGGGGTGTATTGATTGGTGAATACACATAATGTTATGGGCAGGAACAAAGTAGGCTTTGTGATTTGTAAATTGATTCACGAGTTCCTGTAGATGGTATTATGTCGCCCACGGGTAGGTCTAGATATCTAGACTGGCAGACTTCTACAGTAACAAAGTAAACAAACCAAATAAAGTAAAATAATCATTTTTATGTATTTGAAAGTTTTTTTTTTTAAATAAAACTGACCAGCATTGAGGACATTTAGTTAAGATTACTACTAGCATAAGATTTGTGCAATGTCCTCTAAACTCATAAGGTTGAGTTAATGGTTGGTAATAATACAAGTAGCAGCTTTTTTTAATGACCTGGAATGAATATAATGTTTTAACCTGCTTGACCATGAGATTTAACCAAATACAAAAATAGCCTGCTCATAATAGGATCAGATGGTTTGCATATGCATAAAATGGAACGTCGAGTGGAAAAGTACCAGACAAAGATTTACTTCAGGATGCTGTTATTGTGTTTGAGGTTTTAAACAATGCCATTTAATATGATATCACTCTTGGTTTATTTTTGTATAACTTGAGAAAAAGAAATTCACCAAATCATGCATTGATAAAGCAGCAAAAATAAGTAAAAAATCCTAGTATTATTAATTCATTTTATATGTTTACAAGCAATTTTATTTTCTTTATTCTTGATGGTACTGGTATACCATCAATGGACACAAAAAAGCCAAAACTGTCAAAACAGAAAAGTATGATTTTGTGATTATTTTATAGAACATATCACATGGCATTTATTTCAGCTGATGACGAAGACATGCCAGATTTCACAGACCTCGTGCGACGCAAAAAGCGCATTGTGGAGGCACCGCGTGCCCAGGGTTACTACCACTGCGAGTATTATCTGATGCCTGATGATGACGAGCCGGTCAGGATTGATGTTGTCACTTACGGGATGGCCGCTAAGATCTACCCGGAGAACCTGGACGCTAAGGTGGTCAAGACGTGGCAGGACGGGGAGCAGACATGGGTGGCCTGGACCTTAAAGTGAGCACTGATTAAAGTCTGTTTGATTGTAGTGATTGAAAAAAAAGTGCTGTTTGATATCATTTCTAAAGAGACTAAATTTAATTAGTTGTTTTAAGGACTCCTTCAGGCTGCACAACAACATCATGTGATTGAAATTGTAAATCATACATTTTTTTTTATTTAGGCATACATCCAAAGAAAAAGATAAATAAGATGATGAAAATAATAAATAAATAAATAAATAAATAAATAAATAAATAAGTCTATAGGTGATGTATACTTTAAATTAGAAAAAAAAAAATAATAATAAAAACTGAGGCAAACAAGCAAATAAAAGTCAATGAATTAATGCTGCATGTGTTTCTATGTTAAGGCACACCATGTACCTGACCAAGGACTCCCTGTTGAAGCTGTACAACCACACCATGGAGCTCAGGATCTGGGACACCAAGGACAAACTTGGCATGAGAGCCAGATATGACAGACCAAAGGCTTTCAAGCTTCCCACAGCCAAACCAGGTACTTTTAACAGCAGAAATTGTTCAAAAGTCTGAATATTTTGGCAATTTTTTTATTCCAAAATCATTATATTCACAGCCACTCAAGGGCAATACGCCTCATTGTGATTTATTTTATGATTCCCATGTGAACTAGGGCAAAACTATAATGTGAAGAAGGTTATATTGAATCTAGATTTTTCCTCTTATCTCATCATAAATCAGAGAGACTAACAGCTTATTTCAACTGAACAAAAGTATCAGTAAGATTTATGACAGCCACTCATATCCCACCCTAGTAGGAAATTGAATGAAGTATTTCTTCAGATATAATATTTCAAAGACAACATCTACAAACCTTAATTAAACTTAGTTAATTAATTACCCTTTGATAAAGGTATGGCCACCAGCATCACATCTGCTGTTAATTGCCTTTCTTAATCAATACTGGTAATTGATACCGATCAAATTTTTTAAAAATCATTTTTCTCCGTAATTCAGGTACCAGTCCAGATGATATTGGAGGGGTAAAGCAGCTGGTGATGAAGCAGTCCAACAACTACCTGAAGCTTCAACCCAAGAAGCTGTACTTAGACCGTCCCTTGCCTTCTCAACCTGAGCTTAGGGCCGAGTGGAGAGAGAGCAGACTCATGAAGATGGAGAAAGAGAAAAACAGGAAGAACAAAGGTGGGTGTTATTTGGTTTGAGGAATGAGTCAGACATTTATGGCTTCTTTTGTAAATTGATTTTATATTCTTTTAAATGAATATTTTAAAACCTTTCATCATTTAAGTGATGAAAATATTTGAATAAGTATTTTGATTTTATTGCATTGGGTGTTTGTAAGAATCCAAAGGATATCAAAGTCAATACAAAACTAGAAATGATGGATTGATTTCTAACAACATATGACCTAGTGAATTTAGAAATCATGAATATGAATAAACCATGGGATAAATCAGAGGAAACTGATTTATTGAACTTAAAAAACTTATTCTGACAGTCTTAGTCTTGACTCAACAGACAAATGCTTTGATAGTTTCCAGCCATCAGTAAATCAATATTTTTGACTGTTTCCTGACTTTACAGCTGCCAGAGACAGGGACCAAGTAAAAGACCAGCAGCAACCAGTGCAAGCTACAGGAAAAGTTGAACTGTCTGTGACTAGGGCTGCTTCTCCTGCCAACACCAACACCAGTGCAGTCACACCTAGTGTGCCTGTCCCCCAGCAGGGGGCAGCACCCACAACACAAGCCGGGACACCTGGGACACCTTACACACTGGTGTCTGTGAAGAATGAGGAAACAAAGGAAGATGAGAACCAAGAAATGAGGTTTGAAGCATTTTTCTAGTGTAAATATGTTATAAACCCTACAATAAGAGCCGTGTTGTTTGGATTTCATGATATAATGCCATAAAGCAAAATGAGTGAAACCAGAAACCAAATTAAAGAACCAGGAAATGATATTTGAAGCTTTTTTTTTAAATGTTAATATATTATAACCCCTACGATAAGAGCTGTGTTGTTTGGAATTGCATGATATAATGCCATAAAGCAAAACTAGTGAAACCAAAAATATTTGTATAAATATGTACAGTACATGTTATACAGCTGTATGTGGTACGAGATTTCTGAATCATATTGTAAGATCATGTACAGAGGTTTTTGAATGAAAGAAATGATAAATAATTCAGTCAACCCGACTTCAATTTATATTAAATAGCATTTGATCAGTCAGTCTATGAACATTAACATGACACTGTATAATATTTTTGCTGATTATTCAATACTTTTGAAAAACCAGTAGCACATACAGATAATCTTTGAAGCTTGTTAGTGTACTGAAGCTAAAATACACCTTTTCTAATAACAGGGGATGGATGATTTATAGTAGCAGACACACCTCTGCTGTGTTGATTATAAACAAAAGAAATTAAAACTAAAGCAAAGATTAAGTAAATATACTAATTTTAAATACCTAATAATCACAGGTCATACAGCCGACTGGGCAGGCTGGCTGGGGTGGACTCTCCCTCCGCTGCTAAAGAGCTGAAGAAACAGAGCCCAAAGAAACCCAGGGGCAGGGTGTCCAAGAGTGGACATGCAGGGGAGAAGGAAGAGCCCAAGGGCCAGACG